GGGGGAGAGGAGGGGGCTGAGAGAGCAGCGGGGGGCCGTTGAGCTCCTGAGGGAGCAGGAGGAGCTCCTGAGGGAGCAGCGAGGCCTCATGGAGCGCCTGAGGGAGCAGGAAGGCCCCATGGAGCACCTGAGGGAGCAGCGAGGGCGGGTGACAGGCGACAAGGGGGACGTTGAGTCTCCACGGGGGTGTCTGTGGGGGATAGGCCATTGAAGATAACCCTGTTTTGTCCTACCAGAATAAAGAGGTGTCGGAACTACTATGAGATTCTGGGGGTGGAGAGGGACGCCGGCGAGGAGGAGCTGAAGAAAGCCTACCGCAAGCTGGCCCTGAAATTTCACCCTGACAAGAACCGTGCTCCTGGGGCGACGGAGGCGTTTAAAGGTGAGAGGAAAGGGGGCAGGCCTGTGTTCCAGCAAGATTAAAACAGGGACAGGCTGCCTCAGGCTTACAGTTCTGCACCATATATAAATAAAGGCATCATACAGGCATGTATAGCTTGTCGTTTCTATAAACAGGAATGTGCCTGTCCACAAAATCCCGCGTCCACTCGGCGAGATTTGCCTTCTAATCTCCAGAATACAGATTTCCATTAGAAAGAAAGGGGAGCATATCCCAGATCTCATTCCTAGGTACTGCTAAAGGTTCTGAACAATGCGTGGAAATGATACTGGCCATGCAGGAGAGTGTGGTGTTGTGTAACCAGTAACTGCTCTGTGTCATAAATAAAATCACCTATATATATATGCAAGCACATGATATTTGAGTCTGATATTCTGTGTCTGGACTTTTCAGTAATGCAATTACAATTTAAACCTGTATCAACAATGTTAGCATCTGAACTCTTACATCTTCTTGCCTTTTCCATGCTGTGTTTGCAGCTGGCTGCAACAGCACTGTAAGGCAGCGCGAGGAAAGTAAGGTACTCATTCATAGTCTACTAGTATAAGGAGGTTTTGAAGGGCTTTGCTTTATTTATTTTTGTGTTAGGGTTGTATTTCTTTATGAACTTGTTTACAGCCATGATCTGGCAAAGATCAAAGAAGAAAATGAACCAAACAAACACTTCTGGGTGGCTTGACATAAAGTGTGAAATAGATATGCTGTACAGCTTCCAAAGCATCTCTCTCTGCCGACAGAAAAGCTTGGATTCTCATTCTGCATCTTAATCACTCTCTGTAGTTCTTAATTTCATATTAACTGTGTACAGAGCTGTATTTCTATATCAGTGCTTAGTTTGATCTGATAAAATGTTGCGGTCTCACTCAATCTCTTGACTGAAATTATTTCTCCCACCTCATTTTTACAAATATTTGGGCTCTCTGTATATACTTCAACACATTTGTCGTTCTCCTGGTGTCAGTGACAGCAGGAAATAGGTTCCATTCCAGCTAATGCCAGTGTTGTAACACTTACTTTACAAAGGCAGTTCTTTCAAAAGTAACTCATTCTTTGGTCAAGCACAGATTTTTTTATGCCTGTTTTGGGCTTTCTTTGCTTATCAAAGTGTGAGATTTGGAAATATTGTATGATGTGCCTGTGTAATGCTTCTTTTAATTCACTCTCCAGCAATAGGCAATGCTTTTGCAGTTCTCAGCAACCCTGAAAAACGATTGCGATACGATGAATTCGGAAGCGACCAAGAGCATGTCAGCACTGGCCAGGCCAGGCACTATAATTACTACACAGAATTTGAAGCGGACATTACACCAGAAGAAATATTCAATGTCTTTTTTGGCGGGCACTTTCCTACAGGTCAGTATCTCACCCTCTCTTGAAAATTTCTGACGGTACTTGTCAGGGGTGGGAACGTTTTAGTCTGGCAAGGGGTTAGCTGTTTGATTCTTGGGTAGGCAACATTTTAATACTGGCTGTAGCTGAAGACCCTTCTTTTTGGTTTTGCTTTTATCTGTTGTCTGAAGCCAGCAATGGTATGGGAGGTAAAATAAGGTGTGAACAGGAAGGGATCAGGGGCATCTTTGCTGCTGCTGATGTACTGTGTCCAGTTTTGGGCCCCTCACGACAGAAAAGGCATTGAAGGGATGGAACCTGTCCAGAGAAGGGCAACAGAGCTGATGAGGGGTCTGGAGCACGAGTCTTGTGAGGAGAGGCTGAGGGAGCTGGGGGTGTTCAGCCTGGAGAAAAGGAGGCTGAGGGGAGACCTTCTTGCTCTCTCCAACTCCCTGAAAGTAGGGTTTAGCCGGGGGGGTTGGTCTCTTCTCCCAAGGAACAGGCCATGGGACAAGAGGAGATGGCCTCAAGTTGTGCCAGGGGAGGTTTAGGATGGATATTGGGGAAAATTTCTTCACTGAAAGGGTTATTAAGCCTTGGAATGGGCTGCCCAGGGCAGTGGCGGAGTCCTCATCCCTGGAGGTATTTAAAAGCCGGGCAGACGTGGTGCTGAGGGACATGGGTTAGTGATGGTTTTTGTCAGTGTTGGGTTGATGGTTGGACTCAATGATCTGAGAGGTCTTTCCTGGACATTTCTATGATTCTACCTCCCTCCGTCCCAATGCAGCATTGGTGGCAGCTCCTGGTGTTGTGGTCTCAGTGCCCCTAGAACTAGGAACACATGGGAGTTCATGTGGCTCGTAGCAGCTTGCACACTGTAAAGAAATTAAAACTTCTTAGCTTAGAAGGCGATGCCTGCCAGGAGAGGCTGGCTGTTACTGGATAGGCAGTATCCAGTAGCCACAGCAGATCCCTGCCTGTGGCAGCTCCGTGTGTGTCTCAGTCTAGCCTTGGCTTTTATATTCTTAGTAAGATCCTGCAAGATCAATGGAATACATGTTTGGATTAAAAGTAAATCTGAAAAATATGGTGAGCTCAAGGGTCTTCCTGGCAGTATCTAACTAGTTATTTTAGTGCACTCATAAGTTTTTTCACCTCCAAGGCATGGTATAAAGCAACATATGCACCAATAACTGCAGCCGAAACCACAGGTACAGGTAATTACTTACAGGCTCCACATAACCTTAGTCTGTGTGGTAGCATCTTGCAGCTCAGGGGATTTCAGATTGTTTTCAAAATTTGATCAGCAGATGTGCAAAGTGAGCCAAACTCAGCATGACCCACGGAGTTTGCGAGTTTTCCATTTCTGACTCTACAAGAAATTGCACCTGCGTGTGCCTTTTGCCTCAGACACCGGTGAAACGTTGCCCTTGTGGAACATGATTGCTGTGTAGCTGTGGGCGACAGGGGTGCTTGAGAATGTACCCTGGTGGCTGACAGAAGGCTGTGTTGCCATAGAACGAGACCTGGACAGGTTGGAGAGTTGGGCAGAGAGGAACCTGATGAAATTCAACCAGGGCAAGTGTCGGGTGCTGCACCTGGGGAGGAATAACCCCCTGCACCAGGACAGGTTGGGGGTGACCTGCTGGAGAGCAGCTCTGAGGAGAAAGACCTGGGAGTCCTGGTGGACAACAGGATGGCCATGAGCCAGCAATGGGTCCTTGTAGCCAAGAAGGCCAATGGCATCCTGGGGGGCATCAGGAAGAGTGTGAGCAGCAGGTGGAGGGAGGTCATCCTGCCCCTCTGCTCTGCCCTGGGGAGGCCCCATCTGGAGCACTGGGACCAGTTCTGGGCTCCCCAGTTCCAGAAGGACAGGGAACTGCTGGAGAGGGGACAGCAGGGGCTACAAAGATGATGTGGGGCCTAGAACATCTCTCTTATGAGGAAAGGCTGAGAGACTTGGGTCTTTTGAGTCTGGAGAAGAGAAGGCTGAGGGGGGATCTGATCAACACCTCTAAATACTGAAAGGGTGGGTGTCAGGAGGATGGGGCCAGTCTTTTTTCAGTGATGCCCTGGGACAGGACAAGAGGTAACGGGCACAAACTTGAACATAGGAAGTTCCATCTCAACATGAGGAGGAACTTCTTTCCTGTGAGGTGGGAAGAGGCTGCCCAGGGAGGTGGTAGAGTCTCCGTCTTTGGAGACATTCAAAACCCACCTGGACACGTTCCTGTGCAACCTGCTCTGGGTGGACCTGCTCTGGCAGGGGGTTGGACTGGATGATCTCCAGAGGTCCCTTCCAACCCCGTATCATTCTGTGATTATGTGTTGTTAACTGGTAATTTTTTCGCTATGGAAATTCAGTGGAAAAGTATTAAAATGCTAAATGTCATAAGTCAAAAAGGAGACTCTACACGTGTCGTAGTGCTGCAGTTATAACGGATAGAGGCTACAAATTGAACTTCCTTCTCATAAAATAAATGCACGACAGAAGGAAAGAAGCTGCTGGCAGAAATTCTTTCAGAAACGTAGGATTTGGGAAAACTTTTCTCCTAGGCACCCTGCAAAAGTCATTCTTCTCTTCCCACTCTTGCTTCTGTTTTTTCATAGCTTGGTAAGATATTGCCTGAGCGGTGTTGAATGACAGAAACAAACTTTCTTTTTCAAGAACGAAAGTTCCTTCTTTAAGCCAGCTCCCTGTTGGAGCTCTGACTGCAAACATGCCTCCACCCTTGGAAAAATCTCTGAACAAGCAATGAAACAGATGTTTTGACACAAGGGCAAAGGTCACTTCCATCCAGGTTTCTTGCAGAATTCTTTGGGAAATTCAGAGAAAGGACAGTCTAAGAATGTTAAATAATGTGACATCTTTCCCAGGGCTTAAAAATAGATCTGCATTTCTGTTGTTAGGATAAGGCCACAAATTTCAATTCTCTAATACAAAGACATACTGAGTTTCAAAAGAGGAGAGCACAGCTATTATTAAGATATTCATATGGTGATAAAGTCGGAGCTGAAGCTTCAAATTGAAACAGCATATGCAATTCATTTTAGAATTTTTTTAAATAAATCAACTACATTCAGTGTGCAAGAAAGGAAATCCTGAATTGTACCCTTTTTAACACATTTTTAAAATCTTTTTACTTACGATAAAATCATTGAGGAAAACTATTAATAGCTTGAAGGAAGAGGAAGTAGAAATGAGCCTGGAAGACCATATGCATTAATTATGGGAAGCCATAATTCATGGCTTGAGTCTGGTGAAGCAAATGAATTTTCCTGCGTAGAGCTTGGGAATGCAACACAAGCGATGGCCTGGCATGGAGTGTGGTGAGAACAACACTAAAATATGAATCATAGAATCACAGAATTGTCCAGGATGGAAGGGACCTTTAAGAGCATCCAGTCCAACCATCAGCCTAAGAGATAGAAACCCGTCACTAGACCATGTCTCTAAGCACGATGTCACCCGGCTTTTGAACACCTCCAGGGATGGAGCCTCAACCACTGCCCTGGGCAGCCCATTCCAAGGCTTAAGAACCCTTTCCGTGGAAACATTTTTCCTAATCTCCAATCTGAACATCCCCTGGGGCAACTTGAGGCCATTTCCTCTTGTCCCATCGCCTGGGACTTGGGAGATGAGACCGACCCCCCCTGGCTACACCCTCCTTTCAGGGAGTTGGAGAGAGCGAGAAGGTCTCCCCTCAGCCTCCTTTTCTCCAGGCTGAACACCCCCAGCTCCCTCAGCCTCTCCTCACAAGACTTGTGCTCCAGCCCCTCACCAGCTCTGTTGCCCTTCTCTGGACCCGCTCCAGCCCCTCAATGTCTTTTTTGTGGTGAGGGGCCCAAAAATGGACACAGCCCTCGAGGTGGGCCCTCACCAGTGCCCAGTACAGGGGGACCATCACCTCCTGAGTCCTCCTCACCACACTGTTCCTGACACAGGCCAGGATGCTGTTGTCCTTCTTGGCCACCTGGGCACACTGCTGGCTCATGTGCAGCATGTATGAGATACAATAATAAAAATTATAGCATGTTTCTGTAGTTTGATTTAGGTTAAGATGGATTTGGGCCAAACTTTAGCATTTCTCTGGTACGCTTTTTGGAATGACGTGTTATTCTGACGTTTAAATCTGAGGCGTGTTTGCATTTTGTAATCTGAGGTCTCCCAAGTGTAATCCAGGCCGTGGAGCCTAAGCCTGGATAATCAGCTAGAAACTCAGAGAAATGCAGGTGAACACCAGCAACAGATTGAAAATCGTGACTCTCTTGGTTTTTTTTAACAGGAAATATCCATATGTTCTCAAATGTAGCCAGAGATGCACATTATTATCCCCGGAGGCACCGACATGAGAGACAATGGACACAGGAGCCAGAGGAGGAAGAAAACAGGCCACAGGTAGCCAGGAGGAGGGATCTCTTGGGCTTAAATATTTCACCAGGCTGAGGGGGGGACACTTACACCGCTGAAGCCGGGACAGACTTTCCCATCCTTAAATGCTCAGTGTTTAGCTTTCACCAGGCTGAGGGGGGGACACTTACACAGCTGAAGCCGGGACAGACTCCCATCCTTAAATACTCAGTGTTTAATCTCAAGAGCTGCAGCCAAAATGGATGTTTTAAAAAGTAACTAGATTGTCTTTTATTCATCTCTACTTTAAAAATACATTGTATTGATAGGATTACAGTCTCTGGAGCTTTTGGAGTGTTTTGGTGGTGCTTGCTTTTTGCAAGCTCTGATGGTTTGGTAATCCAACAACAATTACTCCAAATGTGGACCAATAACAGATACGGAAATACTGGCTTGTCCTCAGGGTGTATTTAATCCTTCCTTAAATTAGCACACAGTTTCTGCCCAGGTGCTGCACAGGCTTTTTCCAGCCCGGGACAGGATGGATCTGGGATACTTTTTACCATCTGAAACCTCCAGATGAGACACAAGGTGTCATTTGTTGGTAGTACACTTACACACACGCCACCTGCCTTGGAAAAATCTTCCTCCAGAGGCAGTCTGTTAACCTAGCGAGATCCTTCTCCAAGGAAGATTGATTTTTTTCCCTGTGAATCTCTTACAGTCAGGCTCTGAAAAACCAGGTACAGCCTATAGACAGCTAAGCCAGGGCAAATGAATCCCTCCTACTACTGCATCAGGTGTTCTTGCTGCTATCCCAGGGCAGAGAGCAAAATCTAAATAGCTGCGTATTATAATTTGCTCTGGATTAGGAAAGGCATTTTAGAAGGGTGGTTTAAAAATCGGTTGAAGAGCAGAAGTAAAGATCTGTGCTTTTGTGTGGCTGTCTGTTTTTTTTCTCCCTCTTTTGTTCTACTAAATTCATTCAAACAAAAACCCCAAGTGCTTGCATCCTGTCCCAAGTCAGATTGCAAAGGGTCACGTAAGCCTTTCCTTCTCAGCCATTTTATCCAGTGTTTGAAAAGAGATGGAGATTTTTCAGAAGGTGCACTGAAAGCTGTAGGCACGAGTGGGAATTGCAACGTGTTCCTTTGGTCTGGGTTGTCAGCTGGTTGGGTACTGCACTGTGGGCATCTATCACCCTCTGAAGGAAGCTGCAGATGAAAGACAAGTCATCAAAATATAATGGAAAGAAAATGGCTTTAAAGACTTTTCTGAAACTATTAATAATATTTTGAAGTTAAGATGTCATCCCTCTCAAAATTTGAAAGTACTTCCTCTTTTTTTTTTTTCCAATTTAGATTTAATACATTGTTGAGCTGTGATAGATAGCCTGGTTCCTGTGAATAGATGCGTCCTTTGTCATCTGTGTCTTTTCTTGACTGCTAATTTTTCTTGTTCTTTTCAGAATTCGTATTCTGCATTTATTCAGCTGATGCCAGTTTTCATAATAATAATTGTGTCGGTTATAACCCAACTGATGGCCACCAACCCACCCTACAGCCTATTCTACAAATCGTAAGTCGTTTAAAACCCCATTTTTCAGGTCTTAGGTGTTTGTGGTATGGAGGTAAACAGAAGTTGGGTTTGGTGTAATGCACGTTAGTGTTGTGTTCTGCTCTTTCTAGACAGTGTTATCAATCTGTAAATAAGGAAATGCCAACAGTCTGTATTGATGAGTTCTCCCGAGTGTTATCTGTGAAGTTGGCTGTGGGGAGCTGTGCTGGGCTGTGTGCTGAGCAAACAGAGGCACGGCGCCAGGGCGCTTTCTCAACTGCTGTGAGATGTTTTTGCCCAGCGAGGCAGCGGCAGGAATGTGGGAGTAGCTCAGCCGTGCTGCTGATCCTCCTCTGGCTCTGCCCAGCCCCCAGGGAGCTCTGGGCCACCGTGGAGGTTCCTACCTAAAGCATTTAAGAAGTGAAGCCTGCTGTTTCACGGTATAAATCCAAATCTGCTCTGAATTCCACTGGCAGAGCTGTCAAGCTCCACAAATCATTAAAGCCTTGGAGTGCCCTGGTTTAACATCTGTAAAGAAGCAGGACCCCGGGGTTGCAGAGGGCAGACCAAACTGCTCAGGTCTGGAAGCAGAACCTGCTGGAATCTGAGTTACAGGGCAGAGGAAAACCCACTTGCTCCTCTCAGCATCCAGCCTTGGGAGGAGGAGGAGGGAAGCTCTCGTGGGACAGAGCTGACCAGTCTAGTCACCTTCACTGGCTCTTACTGGGATAGGAGTGGGAGTCAGCAGGTTTTGGAGAACCTTTTTGGAGAACCAGAGGGCTCCGGACACTCCCCTTGCTCTCTTCTAGCAGCAAAACTACTTAGATTTAGGCTCATACACGTTCATAGTAGCCCAACACCCTTTATTATTTGTTACCACAAGATGTCAGTGTGTAGACCTCGCGTAAGAACAAGAGGGTGGTTGTTTTGGGGTTTGGTGTTTTTTTTTTTCCCAGAGAGTGTTTTTGCTATCTGCCAGTCCCATGTGAAACCTCCCACACTGCCCCCGGAGCAGCTAATCTCTCCTGCTTCTCTTCCCTACCTCCCCTTCTCCTGTTGATTTGAGATAGTCAGGCCTGAGCCTGGTACACAGTTACGCTCTTTCTCTAAATCATATCCTTAAAAAAAAAAAATTGAACAGCCTGAAAATTAAAAGAAATGGTTTCTATAAACCTCTGAGACATAGCAAGGAAGGAAAGAGGAGTCTGGGAAATCAGAGGGGCAAACTGGATTCCATTGAGTGTAACCTTTGTGTTTTGGCTGCCTGCCCCTTTCTCTGGGCAGTGATTTGAAAAAAAAACACCTGGGTATCTTTGCTCAAATAAGGAAATTCAGTATAAAAGTATAGTTTAATCCGGGCTCATTCTACCTACAGGATATTCTGTGGGGTATTCTGTGCCCCACTTCGCTTACTGACGATTATAAAAACCCAAAGGAAAGTGTAACTAGAGTCTCCCCTGCTAATTTTTATTTCTACTGAAGGATCCAGAAATCAGGAAGATCCACATCCGATTGCATTATGCCCCAAGCAATGCGAGGGCTGTATGCCTTTCTGAACAATCTCTACGTTTTTCATCAATTCCCATGGATTTCTGGCCCTTGCTGGCCAGGAGTTACCAGCAAACAGAAGAAAGCGTGTGGAGCTTGTGTTCACAGAGAAACTTTGCTCTTATGTTTTAGAAGTGTTTTGACTGAGCTGTTGAGAACAAACACAGTATTTGGAGAGAACAGTGTCAGCTCTGACTCAGTTCTTCGTAGATCTCTCCAAACATTACTTTCCTGTGGTTTTTTAGCAGGGAGCAGCGAGGGGGGAGTGAATTCTGTTTGCAGACTTGTAATTTCCTTATTGGATGGCTGAGGGAGCTATAGTCCTGCAGAAAGTAACTGTTAATAAGTTGTTGTTGTAAATATTGTCCTCTGGAAATGCTAATATGGAGAAACATCTCTTGATTTCTTTATATTTGAACTGCTAAAAAAAAAAATCTGTTTTCTTTGTGGTGTTTTCACAGGTCCATAGGCCACGTTATTAGCAGAGAAACAGAGAACTTGCAGGTGCCTTACTATGTTGATAAAAACTTTGAAAAGAACTATCAAGGAGCAGAACTTCAAGAGCTAGAGAAAACCGTGGAAAAAGATTACATAGACTACATTCAGACCAGCTGCTGGAAGGAGAAACAGCAAAGTAAGTTATTTTTGTTGCAGCTGTGTGCCTACAACCCGGCAGCAGTTGGGTGGTTTAGTTTTAGCCTCGTTTTCTGATGCTTGTAACATCTCAGACCTCGCACTGGTATTTCTCACATCTGCTCTTAGCACCGTGTTTGCTATTCTTGAGGGTCTGCGAAAATTAATTTTAGGTGATTCTGAGAGACAAGTGGAAAGTAGATTTCACCATTTGAGACTTTTTTTTTTTCCACTCAGTTTTTTATGCTTGACTAACTCTTAGCCATGATGTTTTAAATGTGTCATCCACTGCATTTATCTGGCTCATTGGGGCTAGAAAAGATCTTGAGACATCACCTACTCCACATTTCCTTTGCTGGAGCTGAATGATTTTTGCTTCCACTGGCTCCATGAGGGGGTTATTTAACTTATTCTTCAAAACTTCATGAGAAGGGGAGCCCATAGCCTGTTCAGGTGCTTTTGGTAATCTTGCTACTGGTATCAGTTGTCAAAGAGGGTGCTTCTGTACTTGTTTTGTGTGCTTATTTGCATTTTCTATCTTTAGATGAGTTTGAGATCATGTTTTTCACCATAGTCAAGATTGTCTTTTAAAAACAAGAATTGAATGCAGAAAGGGAGAACACAAAAATGTGAGCATTCAAAAATCATTATTCTCATGTCAGTCCTAAGTCAATCAGTGGCACGTACAAAGGCATGTATTTTAACCTCGTGTTGTATTATTTGTTAATTATTACTTTTCCAGTTCATTTAAAATAGAGCTAATCCCGGCTTCTTTTCTAACTGCACAAAATAACAGAAATCAAATTACAAGGACTAACTGAAGCTGGGATGTTGTGTATTTTCTTTTTTTCAGCTAAAGAATTCATTGCCTTAAAATGAGTAAACACAAACTACTGCTGGGTGTAAAGGGAAGTGGGAGATGTTATTTCTGTGTAAATGTTTAACGGTATCAGGCAAGCGGCTTTCACACACTAGTAGGGCTTTCTGAACTGCTACGCTCCTCGGCACGCTGCTGAAAACTGACTTTGCACTTGTTTACAGTTTCTTTCCCAGTTGTATTTTTCTGGAAGCATACACTCTGTCTAAGCAAGACTTGTTTAATCCCATGCTAGAGGTAATAGTCGTGTTGCTGACTCCAAACTATTTCTTTCCCAGTTGTATTTTTCTGGAAGCATACGCTCTGTCTAAGCAAGACTTGTTTAATCCCGTGCTAGAGGTAATAGTCATGTTGCTGAACTCCAAACTATTAACAGGTTTTTGATGGGAAGGCTTATTTTATTTTATTTTATTTTATGTAAAAGTTACCAGTCTTGCTTTTGAAGAGAACTATACAGGTGTAGGCTCTGAAGTTAGAAAAGAATTCATAATATAAGACCATGAAAATCCCCAGAAGTCCCTTAGTTTTCAGTGTGCTTGACTTATGATGTTTGAGCATCCGTGGCAGCCTCTGGGTATAACGTGGCCGTTAATAGTCCTAAATGTAGGCTTCATGTGTGGGCTTGCTGTGGGGATAGAATTTCTCACATAAAAAGCCTTCTAATTGACCTTGTGCAACTGAAAGTCACCGTATTGTCTGTCTCACGTAGACCTTGAGCTTGGGAGTGCCGTGCCCCGGCACGGGCAAGAGACTGGTGGTGGGAGAGGGGGAGATGAGCCAGCATCCAGTGCCAAGTAATGCCTGCAAAACGATGCTCCTCTGCAGCTTTTCACACTTAAGAGACTTCGTTAGTCACACATCTGCAAATACATTTACAAGGTCCGCAATTAGCAGTAGCCTGAGGAGGCCACCGTAATTAAAAAAAAACATTTTCAGAGTGATTACCATCTAGGCCGGCGAGCAGGTAATGAGCACAGCTGAGACTGCGCTAACTTTAGCACGGCCAGCTTTGTAAAAATAAACTGTGACTACAAGGTGGGGTGCTGGGGAAGAGTCAAGACAGTTCCTGATCAGCTGTTGCTTCATAACTTCAGTCCATTAATTCTTGTTTAAGTGTTTAACTTTGTGTAATCAATTTTATTACTTATTTTTCTCAGTTGGATGTCTGTTAATAGTGCATTTCTTTTGTTTACTGAGGGTGCATTTGCCCTTAGCACCAGCACAACGGACATGCAATAGTTACATGGGATTTTTAAAGCCCTTTATTTTATGACTTGAAAAGTCTTAGCTGTGCCCAGCTACCTTAATCAAAACTTTAAGTGATTTATCAGTATCTTGTTCAGCTGCATTTTTATGCAGCAGAACAGCATGTAAAAGTTGCATATGCTGTGGGTTTTGGTCTTCTGAAGTCTTCATTAAGTGCAAAAAGGACATCCCGGGTTTTTTACAGGAGATGGTTGAGCTGTGATAACACAATTGCAAAGTGAGACTGCGAAGAGTTGTAGAAAATTACAGAGAGGCGACTGAAAAGAGAGAGAATAAGGATGTGGAGTTGGAATTTGGTGGTTTGGGACTTCCTTTAAGAGAAAAAGCTCAAAGGAACAACTCTGTGTAAAAAATTGACAAACAGGTGTGACAGAATGAATGCTGTCAAAAGCACAAGGATTTGTGGTGAATTATATTTGCCCGATGGGATAAGGGTAAATGACGATTCTTCTCTGGGGAACTCCAGGGACTCTGGACTGGGAGACAATTACCTGAGTCTAGTTTTGCTGAAGCTGTGTGCCCGGCCCTGCTTGAGTGGCATTTTAGTTACAAAACCTAAAAACTGATTCCTGATCAAAAGAAAATATTCGTGCCTGTCAGTTCGTGAAGCTTTTCAATAAATAGGTGGGGGGTCAAATGGCTTTACATTTCAGTGGGACAGGGACAGAGGACATGAGGCATGAAAGCACCTATTGAAGTTCTTTCCTCTCTGAATGATTTTGTTAAATGAGGGACTTGCAAGGTGTATAAAAGCTCTTTGAAAAACTGTCATCAGGTAGCCTGTGCTTAGGGAAATTGTGACCTTTTCAGAAACAAATTACTGCTATTCTCTAGGTGCATCTAATCCTGCGTCTGAATTATTCTCCAGGGAGAAAGCTATATTAAGACTTCCTTAGCTAATCAGAAGAGAAACTTCTCTGAATTACTGGGGGGAAATAATTCAAACAATGGGATTATTTCACTTTTATGTTGCTTTTGAGAAGAAGGGGGAAAAAATATGCAAAGTACATTTGAGATTGTATTGTTAATGAAAGGGCACAGAGGCCTTTCAGACAAGTCCCTCGGCGAGCTGCTCACCTTCCTGTAATCAATAGCAAAGAATAAAATAAAATTAAAAGAATTTATAATGCCTTCTGGGCAAGCCTCTTGCCAGTTGGAATTCTGAGAGGCACAGCATCAAAAAAAAATCAGTTACTTAGAAGTTAAAGTAGATTATTTGGACGGGTGCTCTGGGGCCACGTGGGGTGGATGCGCCAAAAGTATTGAGTTTCTAAGGGCTACGTGGGCCGGGATGTGCGTCTCGTAATTCCTGCTGGGCTTCCAAGGCTGCAGGCAGCTGGCACAGCCCTGAGGCAGCCAGAGGGAAAGGAGTTGGGAGGGTTGTCACCGAAATGCCACCGGGAGGTGTGAAGTGACCCCCACACACACCAGTCTGCGCCTGGTGGTCCACCAGTAAGGATGGGTGGGGAAGGGGTGAGATGTGGTCCAGATGTGAAGGCCAACCACCTGGTTGGCCTAAGACAGGCCAGCCAGGTGGTATCTTACTAAGCCCCTTCTTATGCACAGGTAATTTAACTATATATGTACATCTTAAAGCAATAATCTATTCTTTAGATCATTACCATAATTTTAAATCTTACGTGACTTCTAAGCTCCACTTCTATAGTTTGTGTTTTCTTTGCAGACAGTAATAATCAGTCTTACTTTTCATTTTGGTTATGGTCTTACCAGTGCGCTAATGGAAAGGGTTATTAAAACTGTTAGAGTTTGCAAGCAATTATGAAAATACTGTTTTCTTAAGTAGCTACCTTGGTTAAACGCAACGGCCTCTTCTTAAAGAAAGCTATTAACGTGCCCAGTTTCACTGAAACAAGGTGAAATAAAAAAAAAAAAAAAGCATGCCACAAGGATAACCAAGGACTGGGAAACAGGTATTTAAAGCAGGCTCATGGCTTCATCCTAATATATTTATTTTTTTTATTTTTTTTTCATCTTTCAGAGTCTGATTTGTCAAATTTGGCCAAGCTGTACAGAGACGAGCGGTTAAAACAGAAAGCGGAGTCGCTGAAACTTGAGCACTGTGAGAAGCTCTCCAGTCTGATCGGGATGCACAAAGGGCGCTGAGCGGGACGCACACCTTCTCTGATTTTATTTATTGCCGTTTTAACTTATGTTTTAATTTTCCTTTGTATAAGAAGGGAAGGAGTCTATTGTAAAGAGTCTGAACATTCGAATCCTCCTGCCTCTGGCGCAGAGAGGGGCCGACACGCGCTGTAGAGCCAGTGTTGCTGTAATATACACTGTACACTAGATGTGGTTCCAAGGACCAGTGGCACTTTGTAAATTAATTCCCCGTTAGTTTGGAACCTGTCTTCGTCGGTAGTTTGTCTGCCATCCACATCCAAACAGTATATGATTCCCGGGAGAGCAGACAAATGTCTTCACTGTCTGTGTTTCACAAGGACCTGCCATTCTCTCCATCGTAGGAGCGGCGTAGCTCTCGGTGTGAAGCACACTTGCCTTCTCACACCGATTCCCAGTGGCTGTCCCTGCTGCTGCAGTGGTTTGTAATGGGAATTTAGGCACGTTTTTCCTCTTGGAGCGTAACACGGCGATGCTTAATTCGAGAGAACTGAGCACCTGCCTGAGGCGAGCGCTTGAGCCGGCTGCCGGCTCTCCGTGGCGTCACAGGGACCTCACCCCGTGCTGTTACCTCGGGGATGTTCCTTGGTTACCTCGGGGACCTTCCTTGGGATGCCATCAGCAGCGTCGGATGAGAAGACAGGAGTCTGTGAGCGGCACCAGGTCTGCCAAACTGTGGAGAAAGGACAACTCTTATTTATTTCCTCATAGGTTTTCAGTGGCGTATTTTTAAGCTGGCTGTTCAAGTCTGAGTTTTATCTGCAAACTCTTCTCCAGCTGTTACAGGGGTCCTGCTTTCTCTGGTACCGTTTCAATGTAGCATATTTTTACTCTGTTGAGTAGTTATGAATGTTCCACTGTAGAGATTATTATTGCAAAGAAAAAGATCCACCTGGCGGCGTCCTGTTTTTTTCTTCATCCTCCTTCACGAAACCAGGCGTTTAAAGGCAGGTTGAGAACGGGTTACGGTGATTGGCAGCAGAGGACAGAATGTTGGTGCTCCAGCTGAGCTTCTTTCTTGAACCTCCTGAGCTAGTTTCTCTGGTGGGATGCTGTGGGTGTGATCCACGCATGGAATAAACTGTTCTCACATCTCCAAGGAGTGCGGGCTCTGGAGGTGCGAGCTTCTGCCCTCCATCCCTGATGTGGGGACTTGGCGTAGCCTTCCTGCCGTGGAAATTAAAACTGAACATCCCTAAAACTCATAATGAGTAGCCACAGGTAGCCTTGGCTTACACCTCAAAAGTTTGGGAAATTCCAGAATTAAAATTGCCTTTAAAGCTTTGCCATTCATTGCACTGAGGGTGTCCTGTTGGCGTGGTGCACCACAGCTGGTGCTGAGAGTGGGCAACGGGGACCATAGGGCACGGACAGTGTCCCCTTGGTGTCCCTGTCACCTCCGTTAGAGCAGTGGGAGGCTCCCAAAGCTGGGAGCTGCAGGGAGAGGAGATGATTCTACCCCTCTGCTCTGCTCTGGTGAGATCCCACCTGAAGCACTGCGTCCAGCTCTGGGGTCCTCAGCGCAGGAAGGACATGGACCTGTTGGAGAAGGTCCAGAGGAGGCAACAGATATGCTCGGAGGCCTGGAGCCCCTCTGCTGGGAGGGGGGGCTGAGAGAGTTGGGGGGGTTCAGCCTGGAGAAGAGAAAGCTCTGGGGAGCCCGTAGAGCCCCTTCCAGTCCCTCAAGGGGCTCCAGGAGAGATGGGGAGGGACTCTTGATCAAGGAATGGTTTTAAACTGAAAGAGGGGAGATTTAGGTGAGATATTAGGAGGAAGTTTTTTGCTGTGAGGGTGGTGAGGGCCGGGCCCAGGTTGCCCAGAGAAGCTGTGGCTGCCCCATCCCTGGAGGGGTTCAAGGCCAGGTTGGAGGGAGCTTGGAGCAACCTGGTGTGGTGGGAGGTGTCCCTGCCCAGGGCAGCAGGCTGGAATTGGATCATCTTTGGGGTTCCTTCCAACCCAAACCATTCTGTGAGAAGCTTCTCCGGGGGTCTGCACCAGAGGGTGGGTGTTCGTTGTGGAGTTCGAGGCTTGATGCTTCTGCAGGATGAGATGTGGGCATCCCCTATATGATCTCACCATTGCCACTACAGCAATGGTGCTCCTGTGAAATGCTTAAAAATATTGAAAGCAATATAGTGACTCCTTGAAGTAGCATTGTCACGTTAACATTTGTTCCCGTTGGCCAACTTGGTAGGAGCACCTGGGGAAGCCGAGCAGAGCGTGTCAGCCACGCGGGGCAGGAAGAGCCCCTGTGAAAGAGGCGTGTGAAGGGGTTTGGTTGTGAAACACGTTTAGTGTGAGTCTGTTGGGCCAAAAATGTTCAATTTGGTTATTCTAGCCTGGCAATGTGGCTGGCAGTAGGACAGGCGGCCTTAATTCTGGTATTTCCCAATTCTAAGCGCATAATATGAGCGTGTATAAAGGGCAAAATTGTTTTAGCATTGCTTTTATATGTTAAATAGTTTGTAGGCTATACCTGGAATATATTAAAGTGGTCGGGCTTCATTCCAGGGTTGATGTCTTCCCCGTGGTTCCTGTTGGACTCCCAGGACTATGAGGTGGTGTCGGTGGGGACACCAAGCGTGATGACCCTGTCAGACCTGTGTCCCCTACGGAGCTGGAGCTCACACCTAGTATTTTGCACTTAAAACAGATGGCACCTTTCATCCCACGATCTCAAAGTGCTTTCTGGAGGTGGGAGCCCACCTCCGTAATTTTAAGTGCTTCAAAAAAGCAGTAAGATGTTCTTTGTTGATAATCACAGTCAAGGGTGTTGATGACCATCTGTGTGACGGTGCTGTGAGGATGGGCGTTGAACCCAGAAATGTCTTCAGTGATAAACACGAGTTATTGGTTTTATACAGCACTGGCATCTTAGTTTAAAAAAAAAATGAGGAAAATGGTTCTCGTGCCTGTGGCTGTCAAAGTGCATTGCTGCCTTTAGCCAAAGGTTGCCTGGCAAAACACGATTTACTTCTAATTATTTCTTGAGCCCCTTCATTGATAAAGGCTGGTCGGGGTACAGCTCGGGTCGCAGTGGAGCTGCCGGTGCCGCTTCGGGGGGAATACCAGGGGCTTGCACACGGAGTTATTTATAGTAAGTTATTATGATTATTTTTTAAATTAAAGACTTGACCTTTCTGTCAAAATTCGCTTTCAAAAGCCTGCCTTTGAAGCAGGCGGCGTTACAGGCCGCGGCCCCTTTAAGCCGGCCGTTGCTAGGAGACGGGCGGCCCGGCGGCCGCCGCCATTTTCCGCGGGGCTTCGGGAGATGGCGGCGGGCGCTGGGCACTGAGGCGGCCCGGGCCGGGGGGCTCTGGCAGCGGGGCCGGGTTCTGGGCGTCTTGGCCCTAAAATAACAACCGGCACGGTGGGCTGCATCCCTCCCACTCCTGGGAGGGCCCAGCCTGGCCCTGTGCTCCTTGAATCCGCCATCTCGGCAGACCGGGGTGTGGGGGTTGCACCTCCTGCTAGGCCGCAGGGTCGGTGCTGTGGAGAGGATGGTGGTGTCAGGCCTTGCAGAGGTTCGGAGGTGGATCGCCTCACAGGGTTGGCCCGGCTGAGCCACAGTGCTTCAGACTTCAGAGCTGCTGGCGTGTGTTGGATGCCCAGGTCCCCTCAGAGCCCCAGAGGCGGCTTTGAAAGCCTCTGCTGAGCTGCGCCGGTGTTTCCTGCTCCTCTGGAGTTGCGAAAAGCAGCTCCAGCGTGGGAGAGGTGCTGCTTTTGGCAGCCACCAGCAGCCGTCATCTTCCTCCTTGCTGCCTCCCTCTCAGCCTTGCCAGCGTTGAGGTGAGCACACACAGGGCTGGCACAAAAACGCAAGTTAATAAGCAAATGCAATGCTAAGTCTACAGGCGGTATCATGCTGGCTTAAACATAAATCAGTATTTAATTAGCAAGTCTGGCTCAGCCTCAGTCCGCCCGTTGTTTTGTAACGTGCTTGTGCCTAACAGGCTGCTCCCCCCACACCCTGATCTGTGCTCCGGGTGCTGGGAGACAGGTTTACAGCCTTTTAACCTAAAATCACGGAATGCTGTGGGGTTGGAAGGGACCTCTGGAGATCATCCAGTCCAACCCCTGCCAGAGCAGGGTCACTCAGAGCAGTTGGACAGGAACGTGTCCAGGCAGGTTTTAATCTCTCCAGAGAAGGAGACTCCACCACCTCCCTGGGCAGCCTCTTCTGCCACCCTCAAAGGAAAGAAGTTTTTCCTCATGTTGAGATGGAATTTCCCATGTCCCAGTTTGTGCCCATTGTCCCTTGTCCTGTCCCCGGCACCACTGAGAAGAGTCTGGCCCCATCCTCTTGCCACCTGCCCTATAGCTATTGCTCAGCATCAATGAGGTCCCCTCTCAGTCTGTTCTTCTCCAGCTGAACAGCCCCAGGTCCCTCAGCCTTTCCTCAGCAGAGAGGTGCTCCAGTCCATCATCTTTGTAGCCTCTGCTGGACTCTCTCCAGCAGTTCCCTGTCCTGGAACTGGGGAGCCCAGAACTGGACCCAGTGCTCCAGATGTGGCCTCACCAGGGCCGTGTGGTTGTATTTTGGTTGGTAGGAGGATCTCAAGGGATCGCCGCCATGCCCTGCCATCTCTCTCCTGTGTAGAAATCACCATCCACAGTAAGAAGGAGAGGAGGCATCCAGGAACCAGGAGGAGATGCCAGCACTGGAGCCCGGCTCTTGCCCGGTGGGTTGCTGGCAGCTGGGGTGGTGAGACGGGACTGCCCAGCCCGTTCCCTCTCCGCTTCCAACAACACACCCAGACAGGTTGTTCCTGGCAGCCTCAGGGATGTTGGAAGAAGCCGGCCAAGCCGGCACTCCTGGCTGCAACCCGGCCCTTATGGAGCAGGGGGTGCCGGGGGCCATCCCGCCTCCCGCAGCGCTGAGGGGGGTGCCGGGGGAAGCAGCCGAAGAGCTGGGCGTGCGGTGGTACTTTCCAGCCGCCGGTATTGCTGTACCCCTTCTCGCAGCTGCTGACACCCCGGCCGTTTCGGTTCTGGCAGGACCTGGGCGTCAGAGTGAAAGAGCTGTGCCGAGCGCGAGGGCTGGAGTGGAGGCAGAGGGACGGTTTCAAGTGTTCATACGAGTCGTTGCCCTAAATCTGCCTGGCACCTGCTGCCAGCACAGTGGGACCTGCCAGGCGGTAGCACAAAGACCTTCCCCTTGGTGCCCAGGGAGAGCTGCTCTGATCCTCCCACCGGGTTGATTATTTTACTTTATTCAGAGCCTCACCAGCGCCCGCAGCCTGTGTGCCCCTTGTGCCCTCTCTGCCCTTCCTCCTCACCCTCGGGGGTGGTACCTCGGATGCACCCTGCATCACCAAAAAGACACTGGCACCCTGGGGAGGCTCAGCAAGGACACTGGTGACCCCGGGCTAGACCAGCCTCCCTTTCCCACCAACTACCAGTGGCCCTGGGGCACTGGGCACGGCCCTCACTGGAGGAGAGGGAACAAAACTGTGTCTCTCTGGGATCTAGACTGGCCAGGGACTGAGGAGACAGATCTGCAGCCCCTGCCTGCTGTGGATCCCCCCCGGCACTGTCAATCCAGCAGCGAGCTGGGGCTGCTGGCACGTCTCCGAGGTGCTCCCGGCTGGGGACAGAGCCAGCAGTGACTCAGCAGGCGCCCACCAGGCTGCGAGCCCACATTACGGGGAGCCGGGTCCGGGGGGGCTTGGGGACACTCAGCAGCCCCAGGCTGAGAGCCGGACCCTTCGCCTGGGGACTGTTGGGGGGTTGCAGCACCCAAGCAGCAGCCCAAGGTTTTGGGGTACATTGTGCCATCTGGGCAGCACCGGGAGCTCCTCCACTGGCAGCCACATCCCCCTGGCGCCCGGCAAAGCCAGGCTGTGGGGATTTGGGGGTTTGAAATCCCACACATTGTCACAGGTGCTGCCCACGGCAGGTCTCCCCAGCTCCCCATGGCCACAAATGCCACCTGCAAGCCCAGCCCTGCTCAGCAGCAAAGGGTTAAGTGCCGGGCCAGCTATCGGGGAAGCTTTCCTCTCCTCCTCTGCCTTGCCAAGGTTTAAATTTAGTCCCTGCCTGAACCCAGGCGACTCGGGCATCGGGTTGCTCCGGGGCTGGCAGTGCTGGGTAGCACCTGCTACCGCTGCCTCACTGCAAAAATCCCCCCGAAAGCCCGGGCTGAGCTCTGCTGGTGGCAGTCAGGGCCGGCCACGCTGTGGGGACCCTCCTGCCGTGCCGGGTGCCCTGGCTGCTTGATTTGAGTCACCTGGAAAAAAGGCAAATAGTAGCCATCCATCAGTCGGCTCTTGTGATTCCCGGAGGTGCTTGGTGGCCGGTTTGATTTCACGCCTTGGGTTTGCTCCTGGCTGCTCGTGATGCATTTTGAGGGAACTGCTGCTTGGGGCAGGATGGATTTTGGGGAATCCCTCAGTATAGGGACGTGCTGTCCCTGCAGCGAGGTGGGCAGAGAGCCAGGAAAGGAGCCACGGATGGGACAGAGGGCACGCAGGGGCTCTGCCGTGCCCTCAGTACTGGCTATGGGATGTCCCCAGAGGGGTCTGCAGGTGCCCCAGCCCCCGGGGTAGCCTGTCCTGCTGCACTGGGGGGCACAGCCCGGGTACCCCCATGGGGTGCGGGGACACCCTGCCACCTTGCCTGTGGGTTTGGGGAGCAGCAGGGCAGGGTGAGGGGGCAGAGGAGGGTGCTGGCGGCCCCCCGGCAGACCCCTAAGGCTGGGGGCGGCGGTGGCATCCCTGCAATTGCACTTGGCATCGCCTCCCCCGGGCTGGCGCTCGCTGCCGTCCATGTGATCGAGGGGCTGCTCCATCCTGCCGCTGGGTCCAGCCGCCGTGACGGCCAGGGAGCCAGAAGGTCGAGACACCAGCGTCCCCGGCAGAGCGTCCCCAGCACCCAGGAGGGTCCCCAGGCACCGGCTGGCATCCCCTGGGGTCATTCCTGCCGTGATGCCCCGTGGGAAGAGGGACCCCGTCCTGCTGTCCCCCGCCGAGCTGCCTGGCACCGACAGCGAGGGTCCCCGCAGCGGTGGGGACGGCCGGCGGTCTGCGTCGGAGGAGGAGGGCCACCTCCCCGGGCTCCCCCGCGACGACCTCGCCAAGAGCATGTCGGGCTCCTCCGTCTCCTCCTACCACTCTGCCCTGTGCTCGGAGGGGACGGAGACCTTCAAGGACTGCCTGGAGTTTCTGGACGAGGAAGGGACACCCCCCCAGGACGCGGGGCGGCGGGACAACCGTGCCGAAGGGGCTGCCCCGGGGCGCTGGGCTCCGGCGGGGGCCCCTGGCGTCCCCCCGCCGCCCGGCCCCCTCACCCGCCCGCGGCAGGCTCAGCTGTCCACGGCGGCTAAGAATAGCCCGGCGCCGGGGCAGGGGGGCAGGATGGGTCCCCTCGGCAGGGACCGGCCGCCTGCCACCGCTGCCACTGCCACCGGCGGGGAGCTGGCTCTGCCCCGGCAGCCCGGGGGGATGCTCGTTGGGGCGCCCAGCGATTCGGACGAGGCGGATGGCGAGGTGCGGGCGCTGACGGCCAGGGCTTTCCGCAGCCTCTCCGGTCCCCCCGGCGCCCGCCTCGACATGTGCAGCTCCCACACCTCCTCCAGCCTCTCCAACTCTCTCTCGGAGGACGGCGGGCGGCCGCGGCGGTGGCCGGTGGCCGGTGGCGAGTCCCGGGGCACAGTGACAGCCCTCCATGGCAGGGTGGGCTGGCCCTTCCCCACCGGCGTGGATGGAGAGCTGCTGGGCTTGCTGGGAAAGGAGCAGTTTGAGTGCGTGGATGTGGAGCTGGAGAGCGGCGAGGCCAGGAAGGGCCACAGCAAGAAGAGGACCGTCCCCAAGCGCCAGATCCTGCTGAAGAGGAAGGAGAGGAAGGAGACGGGTTTTGGCCCCTGGGGTGAGAGCCCACCCCCCCAGCCCCTGCCCCCCACCAGGAAGGAGCCCCCCAGGGCCATCGGGGACGACTTCAGGCTCAACTACAAGCAGTTCATGAAGACGGCCTCCCTGGATGCTGATGCCAGCAAGACCAGGGCGGCCTCTTGCCTGGTGAAAAACGTCCTCGCCAAGAAAATGCAGTACGAGCAGAGGATCAAGATGGAGCAGAAGGGGCTGCGGGGCAGCTCGACCTCCTCCGGGCCATCTTCTGCTGGCACCGACCTGCTGGGGGATGGCCTGGAGGGCAAGTCCAGCTCGCTGTCCCGCTCGGACTGCAGCTTCTCAGCCGAGGACCTGCGGGGTGGCGGGATGCCGGTGGCCGTGGGGGACACCACTGCCACCCGTCCCACCAAGGGAGTGGTGCTGAGCGAGGCGACGAGGGAGAACGTCTGCAAGCTGAAGACGACCTTCAACGAACTCAACGAGAGGATGAAGTACCAGGAGGTGCTGCAGGGCCACCGGCTGCCCAGTGCCACCGAGGAACCGTCGACCGAGAGGATCCGCTACCGGCGAGCACGTGCCTTGTTTGAAGCCCAGCCAGAGGTGGGGAAGACGCTGGATGTTGCCCCCAGATTTGAGAGAGGGCCGAGGCCGTGGCCCAGCTTGAGGCAGCGAGCCATCTGCCCCGGCCACCCCCAAACCCTCCCCTTTGAGGCCGACCACCCGGCGCTCCCCGCCCCGCCGCCACGCCGCCTCTTCACCTCCCAGGCGCAGGACGTGAGGCTGGTGCCGCAGACCCGGCAGGAGGAGAAGCCCCCGGCGCCGCCCCGCCAGCCACCCAACACCAGCACCCCAGCACGGAGGTCCCCCCCGGCCATCCCCCCCAAGCCGGAGGATAAGGGGAAGGGGCGCATCCCCCAGCCCCGGGACGTGCGCAAGTTGGTGAAGAGCAGCTACAGCCTCTGCTTTGGAACTGCCGGCGCGTCCCACGGCACCACAGCACTGGCCAGCGGCGGGGAGCCACCGGCAGCCACCCCCCTCGTCATCCACTGCACCTCGGTCCGCCGACGGGACGCGGCCACCGAGCCCGGGGACGGGGAAGCGCTGGCAGCCACCAGCCGAGAGCCAGAGCCGGCACACGCCGAGGGTGCCGCAAAGCTTGCCAGCGGCCAGCCCTCACCTGCCCGGGGCTCCCCTGTCCACATCACCAGGGTCCAGGCCACGCGGAGGGAGGTGGCCACAGCGGAGGAGCCACCGGCATCCCCCCCGCGCCGGGAACGGAGTGAGCTCAGGGTGCCCCCACGGGCGCCCACGGCCGAGGGGGTGCCGCACGTGGAGACCCATCTCCATGTCCTGGTGGGCCGGCGGTCCCCGGCGGCAGGCGGGGAGGGGTATCCGGCCCAGAGCAGCACCGTGCTGCGGACAGAGAAAACCGTTCTCCTCCCACCACCACCTCCAAGTCCCACGGAGGGAAGGGACGGACGTGGCCAGGTTGGCACCAGAGGGCTCTGTGCCACCGAGGGGCCTGAGTCAGCAGTGCAGCAGCAGGGTGGCCGTGAGGGTGGGGACCCCCGAGCCGGACCCCTGGCCAGCAGCAGCGTGCGCCCACAGCCTGGGAAAGCGGTGGAGAGAAGCGCACCAAAGCCCCCCACAAGCGAGCAGGGGTCGGCAGGGAGCAGCAGCTCCGCGGGCAGCACCGGCCCCACCGCCCCGTTGCGAGCCGGGGAGGGCGGCGAAAGTGCCTCTGGGCGGTTGCCGGAGCAGAGGGAGGCCTGGGAGTATTTGCCGAAGTGGCCGGCAGCCGCTGAGCCGTACCTTCCTGCTTCCCCAGCGGAGAACTCCAACTACTTAGCAATTCCTGTGAAAGCCCCCAAATCCTCTCCAATGCCAAAGCCGCCCTCGGTCCCCAACCCGGCCACTGGGTCATTTGGGACCCCCGTGGTCCCCAACCCGGCCAGCGCATCTTTTGGAACCCCCATGGTCCCCAACCCGGCCAGCTCATCCTTTGGGACCCCCTTGGTCCCCAACTTGGCCAGCACATCTTTTGGGACCCCCTCAGGCCCCAAGCCAGCCAGTGCCTCTTTTGGGACCCCCACAGTCCCCAACCCAGCCAGCGGGTCCTTTGGGACCCCCTCTGTCCCCAAGCCAGCCAGTGCTTCCTTTGGGACCCCCCCAGTCCCCAACATGACCAACTCATCTTTTGGCTACCCATCAGCCTCCAGCCTGGCCAGCACATCATTTGGGGCTCCCTTGGTCTCCAATCCCACCAACAAGTCTTTTGGGACCCCCTTGCTTCCCTACCCAGCCAGCCCATCCTTCGGGACCCCCTTGGTCCCCAATCCATCCAGTGCATCCTTTGGGGCTCCCTTGGTCCCTAATCTGGCCAACTCATCACTTGGGACCCCCTTGGTCCCCAACCCACCCAGCTCGTCCTTTGGGACCCCCTTGGTCCCCAATCCATCCAGTGCATCCTTTGGGGCTCCCTTGGTCCCTAATCTGGCCAACTCATCACTTGGGACCCCCTTGGTCCCAAATCCATCCAGCGTGTCCTTTGGGACCCCCTTGGTCCCCAACCCACCCAGCTCGTCCTTTGGGACCCCCTTGGTCCCCAACCCAGTCCCCACTTCCCTTGGGCATCCATCAGTCTCCAACATGGCCGCTTCATCCTTTGGATTCCCTTTGGCCCCCAACCCATCCAACGCCCCCCTGGGGACTGGTGTGTCCCCCATGGCTGGTGGGGAAGCTCTCTGGAGCAAACCCATCCCCGAGCACCCCCTGCCCCGTCCCCCCGAGGGCCCGGCCGCTGCGGAGCACCCAG